TCTGTTCAATTAAAATGACAAATGGTTTAAATGAGAACCAAATTGAGTGACAAATGGCTTACAAAAGAGGATTCATAAAAGTTTGGTTGAGAGGTGTAGAAGAATGAGTTGAAGGGTTTGCCCTCCGCATCAAACTGTGCCGTCTTCTTCTTCGGGTAGATCTCTGTCGGCGGTCTCATCACTGGTCGCGCTCTGCGAGAGAACAGTCCCGAAGGCATCAGGTATTCAATCGCTTTCTGTTTCCACACATAATCACAACAAATACAAGAGATTACAAGAGATTAGAAGATACGGCAATCAAATCATGTGAGGCTTACGTCGATGTCTTGTTGTGTCATATGTTTGGCATCGGTTCCCATAATATTAGCCAAATGTCGTCTTCCGGTCTCAAACTCTTGGTTAAGATCAGTGATGAAAGAGTCGTATTGTTTCGCGGACTCCAAGTAAGCGGTCATCGCCTTTGAGATCATCTCTTTGCGGGACTTCTTGTGCTGAGCCTTCAGTTGTTCCGCGTTTTTGGGGTCGAAGTGCGGATCAAAGCCAACTCGCGGTACGTTTGGTCTCTGGGTATAAGTGCCGCCCGATATCACCCGATGCTCGACCTCTGACTCAGTGGTGAATGTCTTGAGCCGTCTTTGAATGGCCACCAATTGTCTCATAGAGTGGTAACACTTGTTGGCCGTCAGTATGTGTTTGTGTATTGCAATCATTGTGTGTCCACTCATTCACCGCAAGCTTTGCGCTCAAAACTGTCCAACAATTGTAATCAACGGTTAATTCACTCAATGTTTACAAACTTTACATTCAATGCAAAAACATGTGTTGTTTTGGTTATGATATGAATGACTGGTTTTCACATAAATTACATCTAATTCTTTTGCGAAAATAAAGTTTTGTGAAGTTTAGCGAAAGTAGTTTATATTGAGGTTCACTATATAAGAGTATTGTTATTTGTTTTAATGAACTAATTTATAAAGTGTGTGATTAGTTATAATTGTTGTGATATTTGTTTATTCATTGAAATACAATGCGTTTATTTTGTTGTTGTTTGCATACAAATAGTGAGTCCAATGCTATTGCGATGATTGATGTCATTGTTTTTCAAGAATCGCAAGAATAATGATTAGAAACACGTTTTATAACGTGTTTCTAACATGAGATCATAATCCATATCCACATCGATGTCCTGTTTTCTCGCAGATATCTGTTTACAACATATCTCATGAGTCATTACGTGAAGGCATAAGTTATAAGAGAGTATGTCTGAAGGGTTGTCGCAACAATCTATGCCAAACAAGTGGTGCATTCAATTTCTAATTGACACCCAGGATCAGTTTGCGCGCTTAACACACATGCTATGTTTTAAAATGTGTTTTAAACATTACATA